CTTCCCCCTCTGCTTCGCGAGATCGTCCCAGTATTTACACTTCTTACTAGTATGCAGTCATCGATGTGTAAATACAGACACGGCTTTGCCTGTAGCCCAAATCAGTACGTTCAACGCTCCGGATCTCAACCCTAGTGCACCACTCACACTCGCTGCACATGGTCGCAGTGCATCCATTTCCTCGATCCAGTTACTCACTCACGCTCGCACTCTTTGCCAAACGATCCCACAACCTGTCTCACAAGCGCTACCTCAACTTGCACAACCTCACAACTGACAGGCACAGTGGTACACGCAGGGACCGAGCGACGACCAAGACGTAGTGACGAAGACTACATCAAATGACCCGAGAACGCATTCATCCTCTTCTGTTGCAAGGGTTGTTTGTAAGGGACGGTGACAAGGCTAGTATTAATACAAGGAATTATGCCTGTATATTATATATATATATATTAGAATAATATATTATTGCATGCGTTTGCATAGATATACCTATAACAAGCTCTAAATATATGATATAGACACACCTAATGGTACGTATGTGTAGATTTGCTAGAAATATCTAGTCAATGCATTAGTTTAGTTCATCTAGTCAGATCTAGTCAATACTTAGTGTAGGTTATCTAATTGGCCCTCTTCTATATTCACAGTTTGCGTTCTTTTAGAGCTAGCAAAGGGTGTGTGTAGATTCACTAATTTACCCTATTCTAGCTCTGACAATATCTTATTCCCACATCTATTTACCCCTATTTCAGATTCCTCTGACACGCAGTGATTGCTGCCGGGAATGAGATGCTCTGCGCGAATATCGTTATCCCGGTTCGCCGTCATCCCCTTCTAGAGCCGGATCTCGTTGGCTAGCTTCATCATCTGGTGCACCCTTCCCTTCATCATCAGTGACGCCAAGTTCAGTACCTCCAAGTTCCATGGCGCTTGGCACAGAGGTCTCTAATTTGACGTCTGAGTCACAGTTCGCTGCTATAACTCCGATACTGTAGCCTCTCCGCTGGCTTCTATAGCTTCTACGGAATCCGCTTTACTCGGTCCTCCTAGGTCATTAATGCCGGAAGTTGCAATAAGGACACCACTCCTTGCTTCACCGTTACGCAGGATCTCCGCTTCCGATGTCGGGTCCAAAGTCAGCTTCCGTAAGATCCTTGCTTTCTTTTGCATCTCTCACCTCCTTCCTCCTCTATGCCGACATCTTCGTCGGCTCCGTCTATCAGCCAGGATGTGCCATCTATTGGTCCAGTTCGCCAGCCAGCTTCTCCAGTCGTTTCTATGTCGGAACCAGAGCTTCCGTCTCCGGGTCCACCTGGTTCTGCAATATTGGCAGCAACACCAAGCCTTTGTATCGCCATACCACAGTACCTGAACCATTCGAGCCGGTGCCGCCTTCATCGTCTTTTATTACAGCTCGAGCGAATCCTGAGCCGCGTCGCAGCCCTCATATTACTATTCAAGTTCCTTCTCAAGCACCATCACAGGCAGTGCCTCAGGACATTCGGCCGGAAAATCAACCTCGGCCTGATGTGCCGTTACATCCTGGTTTAGCTGCTGTACAACCTCAACCGACAATTCTTCTGCAACAACCAACTCAGCCAGTAATGATTGTTCCTCCTTCCATTCTGCCAACTGCCAACTGCCAACTTTACCCTCCGGATACCCGGGTCGCCTCCAAGGACCTATGCAGAAGAGCGGCCAGTTCTAATGCACCAGTCTCGATCGAGGTCAAGGTCGCGTTCTCCAACAAGGATAGTTGTTACAGCTCCTACTCCAAGTAGGCGAAGTCACAGAGACCGGTCTGAGTCGCTACCTCGTCGTCGGCATAGAAGCCCTACTAGGAGGTCCGAGTACTCCGATATGGATCAACCAGACCAGAGGCATCGTTGTCGATCTTCTCCATATTCTCCAACGAGTCAGCATTGATACTCACAGTCTCTGTCTCCTGGACGTCCCATTGTCATTCACACAGACTCGGGTCGGTTTCGTCTCCCCCCCAAAAGTCCTCGTCCCGCCCTTGGTGAGTCGACCACAATTACCAACGCAGAGTTTCGGCTCCTCCACCTACTACTCAGAGGAGACGGTCTCGTTCTCGGTCGCGGAGCTATTCACAAACACTGCCTGTCATAATTCAGCAGCCTCCATCCTTATGCAGCCAACATTTACCTATGCAGCTGCCAGTTATAATTCCAACGGATCAGCAAACTCCCTCCCAGGTGCCTGTTGTTCTTCTGCCTCTGACAGCCTGTACCGTGTTTCAAGGTGTTCTCGACACTGACCCATGCCAACTCAATTTTGACCAATCTCAACGCAACTTCGTGTCTCAATTTCAGCATACTGTTCTCTCATTTCACAGGCCCAAATATCTTCTCGGAATATGCACACTCATAATGCTGCTTTATGTGACGTTATCTTTGTTCATTCCACACATCATTTACTTCTGGGTTATAACACTCGCCTTGTGTCTGGCCCATTCATCTTTAACCTACATCAGTCCTCATTTGCAGACTCTGTTATTGATTACAAGGAGTTCCTTTGTTGAATGTTGTGTGGTGATGCTCAGGCACATAAGAATGCTGGGATGGGGTACTGTGGGGTTGTCACACACAATGATTACTGGATACAAGAGGAAACCAGAACAGCCATAGGACAAACAGAGCATGGCGACTCTCCACGCACTGGTTGACGTATCGGAATTTGTGTTCCCAATTTGTATGGTGATCCTATCCGTCATTGCTTGCTTTTCTGTCAAGTCGTCCCCACAGAGCCATAACTCCAACAAGGAGAACACAAACCTAGTAGGGGCACTTCAAGAACTTTGAAATGTGTAGCCTTCCAAATATAATGCAGTTCCGTCATTGGACATGCCACAATATGGAGATTCACACCCAAATACAGAAGTACTGGGTGACTTTTCCTGTAGAGCTTTGGAAGGATTTCCAGGCTAAAAAAGCACTGGAAAAGGAGTGGTCTGAGGTCTATACCCTTTTTGTGCAGAAACGCTTCAGATGCTGCCTCAAGTCAAATAGAGTTTAAATGAACTAACAACTGCAGAAAGATGTGTTACAGTCTGGAATAATTTTTTTCTATTTCACTTATACAACAGGTACAAGTTTTCTGGATTTTGGAAGCTTCCAAAATCGTACAGGAAGTCACCTACTGATTGCATCACACTAATTCAGGAACCCAGCAGTATAGCCATATTTGGTTAAGTGCTACCAATTTAGGTGCTAGAGATGATCGACACTGCATTTTGCTTCTGTTCCAGTCACTATGGTCTACTACGTCAAAATCTGTACGAACCACTTACACTCAATAGTGAATACAATTTACTCTACAAATAATGCAAACCTCAAGGCTAGTAAGGTCCACCTGTCCACCACAGATCACAGCCAAGTTCTGTACACAGTAGAGGAATTTGCTACAGAGGACCACAATATTGAACACAAGGTACGTATTTCCTTCTCTACATATATATATATATATATATATGCTTCTCATCTGGTGACTATTATCTTAAGATTGATGCTTGGCTCTGTCCTGAGCATGCAAGCAAGCTGAGCAAAACGGGCAAAAAGCAAAGGCTCAGGAAGATTAAATCAATGGTATGTACCTTATATCTCTTCCACATTTCTTTACGACTAAGACTCTATTAGTACTGCTGTGTCTCTCACATTGTACACACTACACTTGCTAAAGTGTTTCGGAGGGACTCTACAGCTTGTGAGCCTGAATTCAAGATGATTGCATAAATTGAAAGACTTGAAGAATTGTGAATTAATAAACGTGTTTTTGTATATTATCTACTACGTGCTCCATACTCGATGGCAAAGACAATGATAGCTACTCCTTCATTAATCATTTGGCATTTATGTATTAGATACATTATCAATAAGCTTCACCTTTGTTACATTGTATGAGAAACTTGTATGTGTGTTTAGTAAGGGAACATCCACAGCAGAGTAGTTGCATATATTTTGTTGATAAAAATGAAGCTTGTGATATCATCTTCATTGTAGAAGTAACATGTACACACCTAACCCTCTCAAATAATGTGTTTCTGTGCTTGGGAGATACACACTATAACCTTAGCTTCTTTGAAGTCAGTCACAGAAATTCAATACACCCTACTGTGATCTCTATGTTTAAACTTTAATATCCTAATACAAGAGCAAAGGTAGGAAAGAATGGTGCCCACCAGAGTAAAGAATTATATATGGTTGAAACGGACGACAGCTTTCTTCATGAACTGGTGCACAGTAGTAGTGTTCAATGTATACTAAAGAGTAAAAGCCCTGAATATACTGTGTTTTATGTTGTGTCTCCAAATCTGAGGTGCAGCCTGCTGCACCCTTGACATTATCTTTTGGTCCCATGCTCACTGTCCTTTTCATACCTAATTCAATACACACAAAAAATTGATTCTGGAGATTGACTTTCCCTCTACAAGAGGAATGAGTGGGCAGGATGAACAATGTTGAGGATGGTTAGTTTAGCTTATTCTAAGTTATTACCAGACTTACAATATCAAGTTTTCTGTATTTCTCATTTGAGGACACAGAACCTTACACACACAAAGACTCTAGATCTGCAACCTTGGACAGGAAGGAAGCAAAGGGAAGAAATAGGAAAACTGATAATTATTCTGTAGGGACATACTGTACTGTTTGCAGCCATCAGCTTCACCTTTCCTGCTAGCCAGCCAAGCTTACACAAAACCTCTTGGATATTGGCATGGTTGCTGGGAAAGAATGATGAAGACACAATTTGTATGCTTCACAAATATCTGAGGTATGTATTCCAGATCGACAACGAATGGTAAAATGAAATTCTATGAGAAAGTCAACAAGGCACAGACTTCAACACAGAATAAGTTTATACCTACTTGAATCTATGATCCTGGTTTCTGACAGAAGTGGAATCCATTTTACAATTGTAGGCTTCTGTTTCATGCCTATAGTAGCAAAGCTCTCTTTGTATAATCTTCTACTGACTAAATACCCTCTCTTTAACAGGCCACAAGCTGGGCTTCACATTATCAAACTCACTCAAGCTCAACTTTGATGACAGCTAGTGTACATGTAAGGTGTTGGAAATGTCTTTGCATTACACATTTCTAGTAGGTATTATTATTTTATATACTGAAGAGTTCTGATTTTAGTTACTATCAGATCTTCTTGATTTTATTATTTCTTTAGATTACATAATCACTTTCTTCATGTAGTTAGTTCTTTCCTATTTGGAATGGACAGTTGAGTTTTGACCAGAGCCCACAACAACACTAGAGGGAACAAGCCCACCAAAACCTTGCCTCTCAAAACAGTGAAATTCAGGTATATGAATTGCTCCAATATACTATAGTACTGTAATGTGTAGTTGGAGAGGGAAGAATGAGAATGGACCTAGCATGTTCTGAAAATGAGTTGTCTGCACACAAACTCTTGAATGATTACAAGATGGGGAATGTAGCAGACTCATTGTCAGATAACATTAGATTACACAGATAATGTCAGATTTCACTGATCATTGTGCAATGATACTCTGACAGCTTAAAATGATGGGGATGGGGAAAGGATGGTGAATTTCTGTTACTGTGCCCACAGTACAAGGGACCATCAAATACATTTGGAATACTCAACTAGTCTGCTATTAAATAAATATCTATTAACATGATGTTCATAACAAAGCACTGTCTGTCAAAGAATGTCATACAGTCATGCCGCTTTTGGATATATATTCTCACACTCTGTGTGTTGAATTGAGCAGCATGCTGTGTCTGAACACCCTTTCTTTCCACCATTGACTCCTTTCCACTCTCATGAGAAGTGGCTCTACTCTCTCATCACACTTGAGGTCTGGAGACTACTTGTGGAACTGAGTGAGCTGGCCATGACAGATGCTCTCTGTCAATATCAACATAGAGTGAGTATAAGTATTGATGACCTGGGGCACCAGCCTGATAAAAGGTATGAACAGTTGTGCTACATGCTCAGCATTGTTTCTGTTTAACTTACTAACACTATTTGTTATTTCAAGCTCCAGGATTATTCCAAGATTCAGAATGTTGCCTGGGGAGTCTCACAGGTGCCAAGCAAGCAGAGTGTCTCTTCATGTTCTAGTGTTGCATCTGTGAAATAACTAGTCTGAGTTCACTATACTACCTTTACTGACACATCTGGCTCTCTGTGACTAAGGTAAGCAGAATATTGTATGCTAGCAAAACCTATCAAAATAGTTGCATTGCAAAATAACATCCATACTGTACTACAATGCATCCACACTCTTTTATTTTTGCTCCAATTATTTTAATCTGGTTTCAATCTACTCATTCTGGACCTTTGCCACTTCTCTTCCTTTTCCTCCCTCTTCTTGGACAGGATTCAGCTTCATCCAATGATACCTGAAGTTGTAATGTATGAAGTGTAGCAAATTGTTCATGAGCCTTGTAGAGCAATTGGTCAACACAGTCAAGTTCTGTACTGAGTTGATGAGGGGTAGTAGGAACTGGATGTTGTAGACTGCTGGGACCAGTAATTGGATAGAGTGCTTGTGGACAAGGAGGGCTGGCATGGTGAGCCTAAAGATTTTCCTCATATTTCTGTTTTACTGCTTGAGTCTGTGTTGCCTTTGAACATTTCTTCTTTATAGTGTGTGCACAAACATAGCATGCTTGATTTGCAGGACTGTTGTATGGCAAATTGCAATTAATACACTAGTCATATTGGATTATTTCTTTGTTGGCACTGTCAGGCTCTGGAGAAGGTGAAAGGAAGAGAGAGGGGTGTTTGGGGAAGAGAGGGTGTTGTTCAGGAGGAACTGAGGACTTGCAAGACACAGATGGCTCAGGAGCTGTAGGAACCAACATTGTGCCTGCCAAATCTGTCAAATCTGTCAAATCTGCACCAGAACTGACTAGAAGCTGACCACCAGACATTGAAGGGGCCAGATCAGCCATAGTAAGACTCTTGCCTTTATCATCTGAGCTGCTGACAACACAGTGGCAGGAATGTGGGGGCTGAAGGCAAGCTTGACCCTGAGCTTGCTACTGTTCCTGCTGGATTACAGTAGACTCTGGCTGAAGTGAGGTGAGCATTCACTCATACTGTTCAGTTTGCTCAGCAAACTTAGTCTCCACCTCTGACATGGTACACCAGTGAGGAGGAGCTGATGCTTGTTGGCTTGGACCAATGGTAGGAGCAGATCCCAGACTAAGAGTCTCTATTGTAGGAACAGTAGGATTAGCATCTTCAGTAATAAGATCACTATCCCTAGTGACTCCTTGCTGCTTCTCCCACTAGTGCCTATACTTGTGTTGGATAGCCTTTAGACACTCATGAATCCTAGTCAAACACAGATTCAAAGACCATTCGACTAGGGCAGGTGTCTCTGTTATCTGACCCACAGTAAGACAAACCTTCTGCTCAATCTAGAAGAGACCTTGGTACACGTCTGGGAAAGCAAAAGGACACAATACACCATGGCTGATTCATACTACTCTTTAGCTGTCTAATAATCTGCCCTTGTTGTGATATTTCCCAATGACTCCTCCAACCATATAATATTACAGCAAAGCAATTCCCACTTCTCCCTCACCTTGTTCTGCTGTGTGTCACGTCTGGACAGTAATAAATGGTAGCTGGACATTACAGAGGTGATGGTTTGGGCTGGGTGGCAGGGAAAGCTGGTGTGTGGACAGAGTATAGCAGGGGTTGAAGTAAGAATTGACTTGGCAGAAAAGTTGGTGGGTCACCAAAAACCGAGAGGTCCATTGGAATTGTGCTGAAGAGCTTTGTGTGACAGGGAATTGTCATGATTTGATGCCTAGGAAGGTGAAATGCTTACAAGGAGTCTTGAGTCAAAAGGAAATACACACTTGTGTTAGTATGGAGCACTGAAGGAGTAGGAGATAATATTAGTACAGGGCATGAAGGATACTGTGTGTAAATATATATTCAAGTATGGTGTACATTCTTGCAACATACACAATCTGTGGGTAATCCGATAAATCTGCTATAGGTCAAATTGTGAAGACAAATTAGAATATTCCTGGGACAATGCTTCACTATGTTGTCATGTCAGTAGTTATCTATTTTCTAGCAGACTAATTGCATATTCTGAATGTGTGGAATATGGAATGGTCCCTTGTATTACAGGGGTACTGGGAGGAAAATTTATTGTCTGTTCCCTATCATTTCCAGCTGTCAGGGTATCACTGTGTAATAAATAGTGAAATCTGACAATCAGTCAAGAGTAGGGGATTATATTCATATTCACACACAGGCAACCACAAGTTGCTACAAGAATATATTAACTATGTAGTAAATACAATGTTTTAGAGTTGTATGAAATTGCACTTAGTGTACATAAACACAGGTATATTAGAGAAAGTTTGCTGTGGGTCAGACAGATTGAATACAGCTTACAAGATGTATCATTGCCGTTTTGTAAACATCACCTCCTTCAGTATCCTTTGGCAGGTGGATACTATCATTGTAAATCTTTTTCCAGGAAAAATGAGCATGCTGTTGTGGGCCTCCAGTCAAACATACTCACTTTTTCATTGCATAATCTGCTAATTCATGATCTTCACTCTGCATATTGACATACAGTCTGGTCAGCCTTGTCCCTTTGTGGAGAAGTAAGGCATCACCTTGAAAATTCTGTACACTGAGGCTGTAACACAGGTGTATATGCCTCTTGAAGAAAACCATGAATCAACACTCCTCACATTGGAACCTCACAGTAATCTGGCTGTTGTGAATGTACGACTGTGTTTGTCCCCCCTCCATGACTGACTCTGGTAGAGGGTACATGGAATTTCCATAATGAGCTGTTACAATCCTCACATTATGCAGATTTTCTCTGTGTGCAGAATAGAATCACAAAAGCAAGAAGCTTGTTGATACCTGTGAAAGAGTTTGAACAGTAATTCATCTGACAGAGTCAAAACTTACACTGTTTGATGGGAACAAATTGGTCTGAGTGTTTGGCATTCCTTCAAAGGCCGAATGTTGTATGGCATCAAGCTTTGGACAGAGGATACACTTGACACTTGACTTGGAACATATCAAACAAGAACAATCCCTGGAGTTTTTAGAGGAAAGCTTACACAAAGGGTAGGGCTAAAACAACAAAGAGATAGGAACCTGATAAAGAGGCAAAGAAATGCTACTACAAGATCTGACCATTGGGAAAACAAGGCATTGAGAAACAAGGTGGTGATGCCCTATATTCAGGCAAAAGGCACAATGACAGTATGGGCACACAAAGGAAGGTTGTGCACACACAATGACAGTACAGGTACACAAAGGTAGGTCAGGCACACAATGACAGTACAGGCACACAAAGGCAGGTTGGGCAAACACAATGACAGTATGGGTACACAAAGGTAGGTTGGGCACACAATGACAGTACAGGCACACAAAGGCAGGTTGGGCAAACACAATGACAGGATGAGCTCAGAAGAGATACAAAGGTAGAAAGGCAAATTGATAGTCCTTTACATTTCTGAGCACTAGGTATACAAAAGCAGGTCAGGCACACAAATGGCAGGGTGGGCTCAGCAGCAACACTAGGCAAAGCAAAGAAACAAAGGCAGAAAGCAATTATAGTTGTTGTAGGACACAGATGCTTACACACAAGTACAGCTATATAAGAGCTGGTTGCCTGACAGTTACCTTATACTAGTGGATGCAAGCAAAAAGAAACTGGAAGATTATCAGGGCTGACAACAACAAGATGGTATTTCCATTAAGTAACAACTCAGACAACAAGAATCTTCAAATGACATACAACAAGGACATTGACAGGACAGACAACAAGCAAACCCACACAACCAACAATGAGGTCACCAACATGACAGACAATGGCTGTACCAATAGATCTAGGACAGGTGACAAGGACACTGACTTGACAGACAACAGCACCCACACGACCAACAACAAGGATGCTTACCTGTCAGCTTCCAACAATATTATCAACAAGAATGATAAGCTTACTGAGGTGAGCAATCAACTGCCCATCAGCTCTACAACATCAGTAGGCCTTATAAATTGGTTGTAATGTGTATTTGATTGACTTTGTGTTCTAGGGATCAGGACTACCTGCACGTTCTGAAGAGTTCGAAAGGACAATATGTCAAGGATTCTCTACAATCACAGTAAGTCTAGACCTTATAATATTACAGCACGACTCCTTGACTGGCTCTAATTTAGGGCCCATCCCTTTCACTCACCAACATTGTAAAGCAATTTCTACTACCAGAGATCAACTTTGAACCTATTTTCGAGAGGGTATCTCTGTTAGCCACAGAATCCTAGGAGACACCAAGTGTAATACCTGAAGTGAGGTCTACACCAGTAATAAGCCTTATAAATTGGTAGTGCTATATGCTTTACTGACATTGGATCACAGGGAGCACTATCAGCCACTGAATTCAAAGTAAGCTTTATTGATCACTACTAAACCTGTAAAATTAACTAAGTTTGATCTAGAAAATAGACAGTGAAAGTTTGACTGGTGGAACAGTTGTAGTAAGAATTTTCTATTTATTCACTTTCTGTGAGTCCACAACCAACTGTGTTGATTTAGCCAACTGTTTGTTGCTTTCTGTATATCTCTGGATCTGGAACTGAAAATTGTTGATTTAGACCAAGGTTGAGTACCTGGTTCCTAAGAAGTGGAAGCTCAGTAAGGAGGTATTCAATAGCAACAGGCCTTGTAAATGCAATGCTAGGGAACAGGTGATTCCTGTCCATTAGTTGATGTGGCAAGCACTGAAGTCCCACAGTCCCCCCCAGGTTTTAGAATAACTTTTGTAAGTCCTGACTTAAATCATGGTGGATAATAATCTTTATCCAAAATTGCAGACAGCTCTCAAGCAACTTGAGGAAATGATCAAGGAACTGGCAGACAAGGAAAAAAAACTTGACAAATTCAGTAAGTTAGTAACACACACAATGAATGACTTGGAGACAGTATGTAAAACAGTTACATATTCCACATCCATCTTATGTCATGCTATTTTGATAAAGGCATCAGTGTTGCAATGCAACTTGCAAGGTGCTGAAAGGACAATAAGAAATTTGCAACAGGTAGGGAATAGTATTCATCCACTAATAATTAAAGGTATAACAATGTAGTAGAGCATTTCTAAGTTGTCTGAAGTCTGTGGTAATCATGCTGGAGAAAGTAGTAGGGTACAGGATAACAGAGAAGGTAACAGAAGAGTGCTTGGAAACTATCAATGTATTTGGTTTGTCAATCCTATTGAAGAGCTATACTGATTACAATAAATATAGGGTCATTCTCCCTCAATCTGTATGAGGAAAGCAGAACAGTATAAGGTCATAGAAATGCAAGGGCAATTGATGATAGAGGTATTTAGCTGTTACATTTATCTAAATGTGCTAATTGAGATGGGATAAAGAAGACACGTCTGTCTTGAGCCTCTTAGGGCAGAATAGTGTACATTCTGACAATGTAGGAATGTCTGACACAACTGTATGCATACCACAACACAGCTCAAGCAACAAGAGGCCAAATAAGGGAAAGGGAAGGGCAGATGATGGTCATACAAACCCAGGTATGGTTGGTGTATTCATTAAAGAAATCCATTGATTATGGAAAAACAGAGTGAGTCCTTCCTGATCTGTCTGAGGGAAGCATTATCCAGAACAAGAAAGGTAAGGGCAGAGCAGTCCAACATACTCAAGGTACATTCACCATATTCATTGAAGTCATCTACTGATTATAGCTTTGCAGAGTCAGGTATTTCTGATTTGCTTGAGGGAAGCAATATTCAGAACAAGAAAGACAAGGGCCTGGCAGTTGAAGATACTCAAGGTGCCTTCACTGTATTCACTAAATCATCTGCTGATTGTATGTTTGCAGAGCAAGTCCTTCCTAATCTGTCTGAGGGAAGCAATATCTGGAACAAGAAAGGCAAGAGCCTAGTAGTTGAAGATACTTGAGGTATCTTTAGTATATTCATTGAAGACGTCTACTGATTATAGCTTTGTAGAGCTAGGTATTTCTGATTTGCTTGAGGGAAGCAATATCCAGAACAAGAGAAGTAAGGGCTCAGTGTTTGAAGATACTCAAGGTACCTTCACTGTATTTGCTAGATCATCTACTGATTGTAAATTTGCAGAGCAAGTCCTTCCTAATCTGTCTGAGGGAAGCAATATCCAGAACAGGAAAGGTAAGGACTCAGCAGTCAAAGATACTCAAGGTATCTTTAGTGTATTCATTGAAGACGTCTGCTGATTATAGCTTTGCAGAGCCAGGTATTTCTGATTTGCTTGAGGGAAGCAATATCTGGAACAAGAGAAGCAAGGGCCCAGCAGTTGAAGATACTCAAGGTACCTTCACTGTATTTGTTAGATCATCCACTGATTGTAAATTTGCAGAGTAAGTCCTTCCCAATCTGTCTGAAAGAAGTGATAGACCTTCTTGTGTCAACCAAACACCTAGAAGACAATACAGACACAACCTTAGTACTCCAGAAGTATGTGTATATTAACCAAAGCTTTATTCATTTACACTGACTGTCTGGAAAGTCAGATTTGAGATCTGACCAATTTGGTCATTGTTTTCTACACAGTGACCAATCTAATGCTAGTGAAGTTGAAAAGGGCAGTAAGGGTGATGACAAGGACAAGGACAAGGACAAGGAAGACAGTGAGCACAAGAGACAAGGCAATGTGGAACATTTATTCCTAGCAGTAAGTAGTGATGTGTATTAGTGTAGCTTTTACTAACAATACATAAGGGCTGTGTGAGAGATGTGTTTCACAAAAGTTTCCCAGAATCTAGAGAGGACAACTTCATACTATATGAACCCACTAAAAGGAAGGATGCTCATGCTTTCAAGAAGGGCTGGCATCATGGCCCAGACTCTTCTAACATTCACATTAATGTATATGGCCCAATCAGTTTGTGTTAGAACAAGGCCATTGTCAACATCCTATATGATTGAGCACTACATTTAGTCAGAACAAAGATAGAATGTACACAGGATGTACAAAAGGAAGTTCAAAGGAGGGTGAAGAGTAAGCTTGTGCAGGTCAGGAGCATCTGGAGATGGGCTGATCCAAAATACTTGGGAGAGGGATATGTTGAGTCAGCTGAAGCCACTAGTGCCTGAATTTCACAAGCTGTATATGAAGAAGCAAGGCAACAGAGACAGAATACAAGGAGACTCTAGGTATACTAAAATTCATCTGTACTACTCTTTGCTCCAAGCTAACCCTACCCCCCCTGCCAGTGGATCTAGCTTTTTAAGCAACGTTTACAAACGTGCAAGGTTGGAATATGGACAGCTGAGACTACAGATAAGAGGGAGTTTTGGACGTTTGTGAAAGACATGGTAGAGAAATATGGATCTGCAGGAATGAGCTCTGATGAATCCAACATTGATGAGAATGACAGACATGTTTATTATGTACACAAACCAAGCTGGTGCAGGGAGGTTGAGCCATGGCTGTGACTCATTAATGAAAACTGTAATACTAGTGTTGACCCTCAAGGTTCTCAACTGAGAGAACAACTGTGGGAAGCCAATTTCAAAACTGCTTGCTCTACAGTGTTAGGTCTGCCTTGTTCTTTTTATAACCAGGAATGGCTTGAGAGACAACAAACAAGGCAATGGAAAGTACTAGATTCCCTAGCAGAAGAGAATTTTGACTGGATCCTTTATAATTAGTTACCCTAGTTGGCATGTAGAAGATGCTATACATAGATACAGAGAGAAATTTCAGTATATCTTCCTCCATTACAGTTGTCTGAGTGATGTTACTGTTTTGTAAGTCAATCTGACCTCAGGATCCCTTATCCAAGGAATCTGTCCAATACAACATTACATATTGTGTCTGATACAGACTTGTCACAGCTTCATGTGTAAAGTATTTGTTTTTAGTCCATTCTTTCACAATTCCTTGAATTGTATTTTCCACTGTTATGATATAAGTAGGATAGCTAGCAAGACAATGGGTCACAGATGTAAATGCATGGCTGTTACTTTTCCTTACAGTGTATCTCAGATAGAAGATCAATACAACAATACTGTATTAAAGCAGAGTATGCAAGGACAATAACCCAGGCAGACTTGAATTCAGGATTCTACACTAAGGGGCACTGATACAGGAAACACAAAAGTGTCAGGGTCTGGCCTGGTTGTTGCCCAACACATACATGTTTTGTTTGCTAACAGAGTAACAAGAGTTAGCATATGTAACTATTTTTGGGATACTTTACACTCTAGCAAGGCAGTCTGTTGGAATGCAACAGAGCTACTTTACCAGGCATGATTTGGCAGGGACTGGTGACAGTCAGGCAGGGTGAGAGATACTCACTGTTAGCAATCTTGCAGGAAGACATGCTGAGGAAGTTGTTAGCAATGTCAGGTCAAAGTTCTTGAGCCAGGAGACTGAGTAGTATGGGATAGTAATCTGCTGGGATGTGACAGTAGCAATGTAAGGAAATTAAACAGACAGACACAGACAATCTTTGGGGGTGGACACATTAGAGGCAGGCAACTCAGTAAACCTGTCCAGATCCGTGGGTTAAACTGTTTGGACACCACCACAAAAGCAGGACTGCAACACAGTCACAATGACACTAAGAAACAGGTTGTAAGACATATTGTACAAACACACCTGCTATGCTGCATTCCTTGAGGTCTGTGTAATGTGTGTGACCCATGTCTCAGAGTGATGCAACTCAGATACACATGGTGTTGAGTCCTGTCAAGTACTGGAGCTTCTCACACAGTCAACACATTGATTGTAACACTGGGAATGCAGTACTTCAGCCTGTTCTGCCAACTTTGTCTGCATATGTGGTTTGGACTTTGTAATTTAAATTGACAATTAAATATTGTTGTAAGGTGATTTAAAGAGTAAGCATGTCAAATTGTATTGACTGTGATGTTGTGTATGTTACATGAATCTGTGAAAGTACAAAATTCTATTACTCAGAATCCAACTCTGCAAGCCTGCTTAGTCATAGCCTTCTCTGGTAAAGAGCACAAGACAATATGCAACTATCCTTTGTGAGCTATTAGAAATTGGAGCTGTAGTCAAGAGGAAGGAAATCTAACCTTCTTTGTGTTAAACATTTCTGCTGTATGATGCTCCTCACGTTGCTTGTGGCAATGCACAGTGTACTTCAGACACATTTTACAGATGTCTGCAACAGGCCAGGAGTCCTTGAAGATTTGGAACTCTGGGACCCTCTCTAAAGCCTAAAGAGAACTTGTTATACTAGGGAACAGTCAGACACATAGTATCCTCCCACCTTTCTCAAGACTACCTTAACTGCCTTATCATCCTGGTAGGATAACAATACTGTAGTATTAAGATATTCATTAATGAGATTCCACACTACTTCCTATATAAAAACAGTCAGCACTGATCAGCACAAGTCTTAAACAAATACTTGCCTGCCTCTTCTGGAAGATATCTTGTTTCCAGTCATATTTTTGCAATTCCTTTTCTAGACTATATCCTCCTCTACCCAGCCTACCCACTTCCCCAACAGGTTTTACAATGAGAGCAATTGCAGCATGTAAATCTTCCTCATCAGACATACTGCTCTGCAAAGTGGCTTGAGAATTGTTGCCCTCTGTGTCTGTACTGTAGGTACAGTTTTTGGCTTTGTGATGTTGCTTTGTGTGTACAGAAGAATGTGCTGCCTGTACCTCTTCATATGGCTGGATTGGATTGGGTGTATTGACCTGTACTGTAGATGGAGACAGTGGTTGCCTTGTGTGTGGTTTGGGTTGAGAAGGTACTAGTGTATAGTTGAGCAGATTATGCTTGCATGCCATGAGTGTAGAGGGAGTAGGTTAGCATGGTAGCAGAATTTATTCAAAGTAGACTCAGTACACAACAAAGGCTCCACATAGCATGGCCAAATACAAAGGCAACTGGACTCCTCAATACAATCATCCAGAATAGGTGTGTCCTTTGAAAATCCAGTTGTAACAATAGTAAACAGGAAGAGTCTATTGTTCACCCTCACAGTATTGGATGGCTCATAGAGATTGTCCAATCTAAGGACTTGTGTAGGTTGGATGGGAGGGCAATTGTTCTCCCTGTTCAAATGGGCAGAGAAAGACCCATTGTTCACCTCACAGTATCAGGTAACTTATGGACATTGTTTAGACTAAAGCTGGTATTAGTTGGACAGGAGGGCGATTGTTCTCCTTAGTAAAAAGGGGCAGAGAAAGATCTTTGGAAAGAAAATACTCTGAGCAAAGAATGCCTCACAAGTTCCCTTTTCTTTTACAAAGGGACACATTACAAAGGACACTGCTACTGACTCAATAAAATGATGCTCAGAAGTATGACCATTTAACTGGACAGTCCTGCAGCCAAATATTTTCCACTGTTTTGCAATGTCTTGTCTCTTCAACTGTAAGACCTGGGCCTACAGCCAAATGGGTAGGTACAAGCTGCACAGAGTTATCAAAGATTTTGCAACTAGTATTAACTGTTTGGAAGTCTCACCAAGGGGAGTCCTTGCATGTGGTGGTGAGTTTCTCATGTGAGTAATTGGACTTGAGGATTACTAATTCTGCACAAAGGACCTGATGGATTAAACCTTTACAACCTGAATAGCTTGAAAAAAATCAAAGCACCTCTTCATGACATTACTTCACACAGCAAAGTCACTGCTTTGGCCTGGCTAATGATATTGACTGAAAAAGACTGTGGAGATACTTTATCCTTTGGCACACAAAAAGGATGGCTTGCTGTTTGGCAACAGGAATCTGGCACAGTGAGTAAAACTGAGGAAGGAATCACTTTGTTATACTAATTTTGCCTTGTACTTGATAGGATTGGTTTGCAGAAATACATGCTGAAGTTGTATCAGACAGTGCTAGTATAATGTGCTTAGCAGCTGATACAAATGATCACGAAACAAGTAGCTACTGCTTAGCTCTTGGTACACAGAGCATGGTATGCCAGATATGGATCATCAAGAAAACTCATGTAAAAAACATTGTATCAATTCAATTGGACAATACAATACCAAGATCTGTCATTTTTTGTAGCAATTCAGAACACAATCTGTATGTTTTTGGTACAATCAACAGACACATGTGAGTGGTGATCAGGTTGTGATTTATGTTAGGATAACAATTTTGTGTGCAGGTTGACTGTAACAGGCAAGGATGGCTATATCTCAGAATATTGTATGCTCTTCACACACATGTATGTACTGTAATAGCTTACAATGACATTTAACCAGAATATGTTGATCATTGACTTATCAGAGGTGATGCAACAATGTCAAGGGGCAGACATTATATAGCTGTCAATTGCTTATCCAACCAGATACAGCTTTATACAAACTCTGGAACATGTACAGCTTATGAGTTCTACACTAATGCACCAATAAGGTGTGTTCTAAAGCAAGTGTGCTGGGCCAAAGAAGATAAAGTCCTGGTTGTAGGGAGTGATGTAGGCATTGTCTATGTATTTGACGTTGAGACAAGGAAGAAAGTCAAGATACTCTATCATTCAGAGAATGCATTTGTACAAAGTATTACTGTAAGTTTGAACAATTAGTACAATTGGCAGCAGACTGACATTATTCACTTCAATCAGACTCATACAACTTCTGAGAGCAGTTACATAATATGTGGATTGACAGACGAAGACAAGGAACCATTTGTCTCCTTATGGATAAAAAGCAATCCTAGCAAACCAATTATTAAGGACCTCCAGAGCAATACTCAGTCTAACCCCCTACTAACTATTGGTGACATCCTTAGCTTCTTATGTGGGTGCATATTTCTCATCATTTTTGTCATAGGAGTTGTAGCAAGTTTTTCTTATGTATCAGTATGAGATATCTATCCTAAGATGAGAGATAGTACAACCTGACCAATAATTTCCACAGTTATTTGTACAAGGATCCATGGGGGTACATAGGCAATACTGTCTTCTGCTCCAAAGAATGCTTCAGAATCTATTGGATAATTAAATGGTAGTATAACTAGTCTGGTATACACATGAATAGATTGTGCTATAATACAATATACTTAATCTACCTAGCCAGTATGGCAAAAGAGCTGATTTGAGGGGTATTAAAGGAGATAACAGTATGGCCTGATAACAAACACTCTGCACACAAAACTCCCTAGCTGATTGCAAGACATGATTGTGGCAGACTTGCCATGAGATAAGACAGATAACGTTCTCCACTGAGAGGTATGTTCTGGAGGGTCATAACTACAGAGTAAACATGGCAGAATTTCAGCTGATTCTATAGTACATTATAATGCTACCTCTCTATTACACCATTCACCCTTAAGTTGTAAGCTGATATCTGTATGTGATTAATGTGATATCTATCCTGCAGATAGTCCAGCACTGCTACAAACAGTGTCCTGTTATCTGTCACCAACTCCAGACACACTCTGAACCTACACAACAATGCCTTGAAAATAAATGTACCAATCACCCTCCTGTTCTCTGTCCTCAACATCTGAAACTCTGGATACCCCAACAACACACACCTTGTATGCACAATGTAACAATATCTCCCTGCCCTTGGCATGACTTTTGTGTCAATGTGAACCTTTGCAAACAGTAGTGCCACATCTGAAACAGTTGGTGGAATTACCACCTGTGTTGTCTGCCTCAACTAGCATTGATGACAGGTCTTAACAAAATACTTCACATTGTGTACAAGTGTCAGCCACCAGAACCTCTCATACAACCTTGTCTTCACTGCATACACCCCTTTGTGCCCCATAAAATTGTACACAGCCCATACCAATTCCAAATGTTTCTCTGGTTCCATCACCACCACCTGCAGATATCCCAACTTTGACCTCCTCCAGATCCTACCCTCCTTGACAAAGAACCTACTTGCATACTTCATGAACACCCCCCATCCTTTATCCCCCACACCATCCAGTTGCTTCCCTTCTTTCAGGAACTCCTTCACTCATTCAAGCCTCTTGTCCTTCCTCTTCACACCTTCTGTCACTGTAAACCAATCCTTCCTGAGTAATCTGATGCTGTCGGATTCTTCAGATTCAGCAGATTCCCCAGATCCCATCACCAACACCTTGTATGTCACTCCTACACAGAATGTATACATAGCATCTATCCATTCCTCGAAATCGTCCTCCTCCACTGGATCTCCAGGTGCCATCTGTCTCCTAGACAAGCCATCTGTACATGTAAATTCAGTAGCTGGTATGTGCCTTAATTCGAAGTCAAATAAGAGAATCCCTACAATCCACCAGTTGATTGTAGCATTCTACTGCCTCTGCTGTACAAGGCTCAAGCTAAATACTGATCAAAAGGTGCTAACACATTGCTAGAGTAATAGTCTCTACTGATGCAGTGTCCATCCTTTAGCACTATCTAGTGTGAAGTGGTATTATCAGTGCATTGGCAGAATTATCAGAGTGTGTCAGATTAGTCAGAATCCGTGCTGTGTCCTGTGTTTGAGGGCAGAATGTACTTGCAATATCTGTACAGTGTGAGTGTGTTAGTAAATGCTACAAGCTTCTGGGCTTTGTAGTGTTTCGAATACATCCCAATGTATGCTTCCAATCTGTTGTTAGGTCCATAGTATCTATTCATTATGTACAAAAAAAAGGAAGCTGTGTCACATCATTTGCCTGGCTGTTATGGATTAGCACTTATAAGTCAGCTTATTAAGGTAAAGCTCTTACTACTACCAGAGAGAGTATAGTGATCTTATTTTTGTCAATCTGGAAGGAGGCAAAGTAGCCTTTGACTGTCTGTGGGTCAACAAACTCTTCTCCAGAAGTAAATGTAGAGTATATCCTTGCTGGAAAGTCTGGATAACAGGCAAAAGGATCTTGGTCCACATTTGTTACTGTAGAAAGATAACAAACACCAAAAATTGTGTGCCCATCTGTAACAGAGATTCGTTCAATGAAGGCTAGTGCTAGTCTGCTAGAATTTCCAGGACAGATAACCACTTGGCTGTTCCCCTGATGACATTTGTGTGTGGTATATTGAACATTATTGAACCTGTATTGAGAAGGTTCGTTTTTGCAACACTGCTTTGCATTTCTTGCATGCTGTGCAACATTCTTCCCTGAGTCAATCTTGCCCAATGCATTCTGATCTGCTTCTGATACTAGTGCTGATGGATATGCTTTATTAGCAACTGATAAGCAGGCTTTTATGCCTGGAGAACAGTCAGGGCATGAAGCCAGTGTCTGCAACCTTGATGTAGAGATGAAAGCATCATAAAGTGTGGTTTTGAGCTGACCTGTACAGCAAACAGTTAGCATGGAGGGTGTCAAAGCATGAATGACAATCTTTACCTGTCTTGTTATTGCTTGAGGATTCTTGTAGCATACCAATGAGCTGCTCATAAGGATATGCCCACCATGAATAAATTGAGCCATAAAGCTTAAGGAAGTCTGTGATATGTTTTGCCATATGCATGTTCAGAGTAGGTTTTGCATATGGATGGACCTCCATGAGTCTACATATATAATTCTTGATGTGCTTGTCATATGCAGAAATGGCTTCATCAGTTATAGTGTGTTTACACACTACACTGATTGCTTGAACCAATTCTATAGTGTGATCCAAGACATTTTCGAATTGGTCCTTGGCCTCATTGCTCTTGTGTGTGCCATTATAGTGACAATACATGACCAGTGCTAACAGCAAATATACTGTGCAAAGGGTTTGCCACTCATCTGCTTTAATCTTACCAGCAGAAGGCAATCCAAAATCATGCAGTACTGAATGAATCCATGTCAGCTTTAAGGTGTGCTTGATGATGTGTCAAATGTGGAGTATTAGTTTAGCTGTTATCAGCTTGACTGTTGGAACTGTAGAACAGAGTGGCCTTGAGTAGAAACACTGTTTGATAGTATGAGTTTGTGCTAAGACAACATAAAAACCCTCCTCACCCAATTAGTAAGCACACAAGCATAATTTGATTTCTGAGGTTGGTTTCATGCCTGTCCCTCATGCCCTACTGTTTCAGCCAGTGTCTCCAGTTCTAGCCTCAGTAAAGTCCACACAAAGGAAAGTGCCTTCAACTTCTTCTTACACAATTGTTGGACAAAGCTTGTCCTGCTTTCATCAATGTCCCTGTTTTCTGGAATGGGCTTGACCAGTATGTTGTGAATAGCTGATACGTCTTCAATTTTGTTCTGATTCAAGGCTGTACAGCTTGGTGAATCTTTGACTTGCTTGAAACAGAAAGTATAGGCTGGAAGTTCTGGTGGCAGTGCTGAGACTGCCTTATCTGTTAGAGAGAAGACGTTTGCAAAATGGTTGTTGACTAGGCTAAGGAAAAGACAGTACATTGGATCAACAACTAGCTGCTTTGAGGGATTCCAATATGGTAAATGCCAAAGCTCTGACCATTACACACCATATTCTCTTGTAATGCATTTCCTCTGTGCCTCTGAAGAACAATACTGCCAATCTTCTGCCTTTTGTCACAGTGTCTCAAGATCCCTTTGTGCAAATTCCCTGTCAACTTCACCAAATTGACTCTTTGAGCATTTACAGATAGAACAGGGGTGGTCCTTGCTCCCATGTGACACAAGACCAGCTATTTTCCAGGCAGCTGGGAGGTCATTTGTGACAATGATAACTGTAGCTTGAGCTTGACAACCATCTGGGGCAGATACTGTCTGTGAGAGGATAATCCCTGGCTCCCATACTCCTCTAAGTTTGTCCATAAGATTGGATATGTACTTGTTGATTTTGGTAGTAGGCAGCTTAGTAGGGCCTGGAATTATAGCAATCAGGAACATGTTTTCTGATTTATACTGGATGTCTTCAGGCAGATTCAAGCAAACCAGAGAAATGATACTGTAAGACACACTGGCTGCACTACTCCAGACACCTGCCACATTGAAAAAATCAAGGTTTAAGGCAAATGCAAAGCACAGCTCAGTATTCCTTTTAACAAATAATGTCCCAGATTGGTGTCCCTGGAAGCTTTGCAAGAAATCTGCTTGGAAAGGCCCTTTCTGAAATTCAGGACTGCTTTGCCCCTACTGTAAAGTGTGCAGAAGATTGTCACATGCTCTGTCAAGGTAGGCTTCAGTTGAGGGCTGCAAGGCCAGCCTTGCTATATAATCAAGAATGGAGTGGTATGTAAACGTTTTGTATAGCCTCTTGGTAGACAAATCTATGAGCTGTTCACCACAGGAGTACCCCCCTGTCAAGATCTCTGTACAGACCTCTAGAGAGATAGCTTCAGTCAAGGACCCATTGACTGTTATTTGATAAAAAGCATGGCAAGAGGGGCAGACAGTATACACAGTAGACAGTCTGTCCAACCTAAACCTTGCCCTGACAGTCCTGGAATCCTCTGGAATGTGTCTGGCTATGTATTCTACTGTCTCATTGTCCTTGACTGTCTTCAGAATAGCTCTGACTAGGCATTTCAGCATACCAAGTAGTATGTCTGTGGATTTCCAACTTAACATGAAGTAGACAGTGCAGAAAATTGAGATGAACATAGTAGTCTGTACAATATTATTTTCCCAGTCTACTGGCCAGGCAAAAAGATATCCTTGACATACATATATTAGATGAAAACTGACGTATAACTCTAAGGGAAACATACCACAATCAAACACTACCAGATCACTGCTGAGCTCCAAATTCACTGAATGAATTGACTCCACACCTGAGTTATTACTGTCCAGAGGCATATCAATGTCAGAGTCACAGAGATCAAGGTTGCTTTGCATCCTCTTAGACCCTCCTGTAGTTGTGGATCCCTCATTGCTGGACACGTCTGCATGTTCTCTAGGAGTAGTGGATTCTGCATTGTTCAGCCTTATCTGAATAAGATGTGCCTTATACTTGCCTTTTACACAATAAACTCTCCAGAGACCATCACAATTTAGTGTCTTTGAGCATTCATCACATGTACACAATGCTTGACAAAAGCTGCTTAACAGTTGTAGCATTTTGTTCCAGCTCTACAGACTGGCTGAGCACCCAGTTGAATTGTGTAGGACCTTCACTCAAAAAATGCATTATAATGTATTGATTACTTGATTTGTCACAAAGAGACATGTTCAAAGGTGCAGGAACCAGATGATGATTGCCTTTCAGTCAGTCATAAATTCTGATTGCCTATTGTGGTAGCTCTTTTCATTTCCTGCTCAAATGAGAACTCCTTTGTCCTAAGAGCCTATCATAGCCAATATTGGGAGGGTCCTGGCCTGATGCAAGACAGTATTTAGCAGCTCAGTGTTGGATTGGGCATATCTGCCAAATAAACTGATTCTGAGGTCAGATTGAACCATCAAAATAAAGGATCAAATTCTTCCTCATGCCAACTGTACAAGAACATTTTATATGTGTAAACATTATATCTACACATGATTAAATATACAACAGATGCTATTGTCTATGATGAAGCAATAACTAGGGCAAGCAGAATTGGGCTCAACACATTGGAGCTTTGGCAGAAGTGGTAGATTATGATCTGAGTAGCTCCAAACTACTGTAGGTTTGTCTTCAGCTCTGATACCTGCTTACAGGTAGTGTCTTTATGTCTTTGTTGTATTGTTTACTGTGATGTCTCAACGTGTCATTCAATCCAACTCTAAGACTTGAATTAATGTGTGAATTACATACACAGGCAAAAGAAGTGCAGGTGTATGCAGGAAATGATGTTCAGTACCTGCTATCAGCCTTAGAAAACAGTGGCAATTACTTGTGTGTTTGTCTGCATCTTATCTCAAACAAGCCTGGGAGCATACAATGATGTGCCAGCACCAATCATCTGTTTGCCCTTTGTGTCAGCCAACACAACAGCCTCACACATCAGAACCTAAGGAATGTAGCATGGCAGGTGTGTTTGTACATCTATGCCCTGACTATCAATGTGTCAATTGTGTGAGAAGCTCTGGTACTCGACAGGGCTCACTATGTTTCTCAATTGTATCAACCTGACACATGGTTGTCTACACCCTTGCACAGTTCCCAAGGAATGCAGCATAGCAAGTGTGTTTGTTTGTTTTGTCTTGCAATCTGTTTCTTGCTTGTCATTTCGATTGTATTGCAGTCCTGCACTTTGGTTCCACTCAATGTCAAACAATTGGCAAAGACTACAGGGTTGAGGCCAACAAAGACAGGAGGTACAATACTTGTCACTGCCACTGTTTGTGAATGGCTCAAAGACTGGGAAAGACAGAGGATGTGACGTTTGCCTGTTCTGTACTTTGGGCAACTCCAGTGGCTATGTAGTGCAGACAGACAGAGGCAATGTTTGCATCAACAACACTGACTAGAGTGCCTGGGGACCAGGGTGTGATAAGTAGATTAGAAGTACAAAGAGAATCGTTTGCTGATGTGTGAAACTTTTATAATATTTGGTGTGGTCAGCATTGGTGATTCAGGTTGCAAGTCATTGTGTACAATTGACTTTCAATGCAGGTGAATTGTGTCAGAAAGAGAAGCCTGGAGGTGCTTTACTACAATTCACCTGTGTCTTTTCTTTCGTTGCTAAATACCATGTATTGCCCCTTTTGTACAACACTACATTTTTGTTGAGAACTTAGGATTTGCATTTGTCTCATATATAATTGAGCATTAAGTAGCTCATTCTTGCTCTATATCAAATGTTGTCTCTCATGATTGCTACTGACCTGGGACTTTACATGTACCCTAACTTCTGTATGACAGCTTTTTATGTATCTATGCAGTTAAAAGGACAATATAAAGACAAAATCAAATACAGTTCCTTCAAGTGTATCACAAGGTAAATATTCATTCCAACTACACTTGGGCTCCAGAAACGTTATCTTACATTAACTTACACACATTGTTTTTGCATCAAGGCTGCCCTCAAGAGCAATACTTCCTGGTAAAGCTGCTCTATTGTACACAATATCTTGAGGTGTGGAATGTAATTGTCACCAAACCTGTACACACCTTCTTAAGAGCTTGCAGACCACTCTTTAAGTAAAAGTGTATTCAATTGTTTGTGGTAACTGTACAGGACTCCTTGAAAGTCTGCATGCCAATGCTTGGTAGTGTCTTCCTACTCCCCCTCACTGAGCTTGCCATGGTTGCCCTTGTCATCATGTGCAACTGTGATGCATTAAGGGACTTGATAAAGAAATAATTTTAGGGCAAATATGACACTCACCTCAGGGTCTGTTGCACAGGAAGTGTCTGCTACCAGAACAAGCAATTGTAGTCTGCTACAGTACTTGAGAAGAAGACTCAGAGACAATGTAATGTTTGCTTGGCAATGGGTCCTTAGCCTCGTTTACTGGGTCTGAGTATGAGTGGATCTTGTTCTCCTCTGGCTTGGCCTTCTTCAACTTACAAGTTGTCTAGTCTTGTGAACCAGGGCCTACAGTAACAGCATTGGTTTTGGCATCCTGACAAATATGTGAATGGTCCACAATAATAATGTTGTGTATTTTGTCAAGTCCTATACAATTAGGTTAGCCAGAAATGAGCTGGAGACAATGACTTCTTGCCAGAAGAGGTGTACCTTTGTTGTCTGAGTCAAGTATAATAGGCCTCTTACTGTGCCTCTTTATAATATAGTTGAGCAGAGGATATGAGGGAGGTTGGGGGAAAGAAGTAAGATGTCTGGAGGATAGGAGAAAAAATAATGCCCTCTGCTAGAAGTAGGCTGTGCATCAATTAGACGTGCTGGGAGATGAAGAGACTTGGACCAGGTTGTTTGATTGTTTTGCCTTCTGAGACTAGTTGGCACAGTTTGTGCCTTGCCTTGCCCACCCTACCTGCAGCACTTGTATAGATTGACCAAACATGATACACTTGTCAAATTTACCTTTTCCCTAGTTTACTAGGCACCTTGTTTGTTTCAACAATCACACTTAAGTGTTTCTGTACAATTGTAGCAGAATGTTAGACTACAGTACATGAAATGTGATCCATAGAATTTTGGGTCTTGATTCACTACAGCCATACTGTGCTTCTTCTCCTTGCTCTAGTAGAGTCATCCCACTTTTAGTGCCCCAGAAAAGGGGCTGGCACAGGGCACCATATCTGTCTTCTTTTTAATCCAACCAGCTTGCCTCAGAGAAGGGAGTGTCACAGGGCAGAATATCAGTCTCCTTTCAAGCCCAACCAGTCTGCTACATTAGCCTTAAGACTAATACCTGTTCCCTTGTTAACAGCTGAAGCCCCTGCTCCCCTCATATGGACATGGACATACTACCCAAAGAAGAAATCAGAGGAATCAATGAATTGGAATCTGACCTAGAGGACTTGAGTGTAAGGTATACAAAGTTGCACACTTGCTATGTTTTCAATGACTCATTATCTCTCTTATTCGAATCCAGAAACACCCCTGACCCTCTGACTGCTACTGAGCTAACAACACTAGAGCTTTATGAGCTTATACACAAAGGCTACATTGACCTCAGCCCCCTGTATCAGAGAAGTGTGTTTTGATGAAGTGTTCTGTATCACCAGATTGACTTAACCTGAGTTGAACAAAGACCTTGTTTGGAGTAGGGAAAAGCAAATCATGTTAATAGAGTCAATCCTTAGTAATTACTATGTTCCTCCTGTACTGTTTTGCATCCAGCCTGATTCAGACAGGTCTGATACACTTTTGAGAGTGTGTATGGACAGAAAGCAACAGTTGTTGTCTATTCAGTCATTCATCAATAGACAGGTATGTAGTTCTGTGATTATGCTTGAGCTCAGACATTAAATGAATCTCTTTTAGATTCCCTGTAAGCTCAGTCTCATTCATACTCCTGAAGCTGCTCATATCCTCGTTCACCAAAGACAGAAACCCAACCACGAAAATGCTGTTCTATTACAAGCTTCCTAGGACTCAGACCAGGAAGAAACAACTTCTTAAGGAGAGTTTAAAGAACAAGTTTGATAAAAAAATGATTGTTTGTGGTACAAGTACCTTTTTTGCATTATTCCATTTTTACTAAATACTTGCTACAGTAGAGTATAGAGGCATCAAGCCTACAGTTGAACGTGACATTTTCCAAAGAGTGCAAATGGGTGTTCTGTTAACTGCAGCTGGTGAGCCAGACTGTGTGCCACATATCTTGTCTGTTGACAGATTGCTCACCTTTTTAAAGAGAAAATGGCAGCCATATTGACACCATTTGCTGACTGGATAATAGAGCTCAACAACACTCATACAGATGGAGATGACAATGGACTGAATGTGGTCCTCAGGTAGGATACTAGTCAAGCAAAGCACTTTTCATACATTGCACAGCTTGCATACTGTTGCAAGAAACTACCCAAGCAATCGGATGTGACTAATCAGAAGATCACAGCATGGCTACACTGTGACAATACACCAAAGGAGGAACTTAGACAGAAAATCAATTGGGTGCTCAATAAATACTAGCTTATCACAAGTTCTGACAATCTTAATCAAGCATTCACAAAGGTCAAACAAATTGTCGCCCCAGTTGAGTTTGTATTCATGGGTACAATAACTATGATGACAATTATACTCACATGATTAGGGAAGTCCTAATTCATTTTTTTTACAGGTGTCCTCATTTATGCCTTGCAAGATTGCAACAATTCGATTATTGCAAAAGAGATTCTTGGTCTTCAAAAGGCTGTTTGAAGTCAGCACACTGACATCTGTACAAACAAACACGTTATAACAATGTTATGGGGATATGTTGAAAAGGCTGCAGAGCAATGTGGCATTGTAACAGATACCTTGAACTCAACAGCTGTTGCTAGTAGTATAGGAAACAAGACAAAGTGAAAGCAAGACAAAGATGACTAGGGTAATATGTCTACTCTGGCCAAGGGATTGGGTTACAAATATTGTTGCTTGTGACTCATGCATCATGTTACAGTGTCTTTGTCTGTATTACTTACCCTTGAATTTCACAGGCAGCTTACTTTCCACTGCAATATTGTCCTATTCTGATACGTCCCTAAAATCACTGTCTAAATCAGAATCAATGTCCAGAGTTTCGTCATTTTGATCTTCTACTTATCTTGTCTCCCCAGCCTTGAAATCCTTCAAACTGACTTTCATCTTTGGCCAGGTTGCTGATGTCTTCTTTCCCTTTGCATTCCTTCACTGTGACCAAGCCCTGTTCCCAATGCAGACTCAACTGCACCATCTGCTTCATCTGTGCTTTCTGTCTCTTCAGGTCTAAAAGATGTCTTGTGCAACATTCTAAATCTGATGTGAACAACTTGCAATATGTTAATTTTAGTAGTGATTTTGTCTTTCTGATTGTCAGTTGCCCTAATAAGTTTCCATTGGGACATTCTGGGCTGTCATCACACTACTACAGCTTCCTCTTCTCATAAGGCCAATATACCTTGAGAATGACTGTTAATCATTGTTCCATCTGATTTCACACAGAACTGAATATCAGACATGCAGATGAATTGTATTTGGGTAGACTGATATTATCCATCCATGACTGATTGTGTACAGACCACTTCTGTGTGCTTTGAACAGCACACACACATAGTAAAGATACAATGATCCCTTATTGTATGTTGTCTCCATAGTCATAGCCTCTGAGTGAGGTGGAATAATTTTGTGCAATATGATGTTATCCACATAATCCGAAATTGAAACCACTGCAGTCCAGCCTCATAACTGATTGAGAGTCTGTGGATGGCATTTAGGTTATTGACTTACATAAGATATTTCTCACTTTTGCTCTTGGGTAGATGTTTTCAACAACAGAGAACGTCTTTTCTATCAAACTTTGGGAGTGTGTCAAAGATCAAAGTCTGGACCTTTGGTAGAGCTTGCAGGCTACAATCAGACTTACTAGAACACATGCAGGACACACTGTGAAGCAAACTCGTTATCTAACCAAGAATATGGGGGACAATCATCATCTCAGAACCAGCACCTAAGGACAACAGGATAATTTCTCGTGTTTCATAACTAACCAAATTCACTAAGACAAAATACAGAACCATTCTTTTCTTAACTATTGTGAATAAAACGTGCATGATCCCTCCACCAAGGGTAACAGTAGCAACAAGCATCCCAATGACCCACATGACCATCCTTGGCAAACTTGATCCTTACACTGTACCTGCTCCTCTTTGGTCACTGCTTGTGCAAGACGTGCAGATTCCTTTTTAAGGCATGCTTCAAGCAATATTTTGGTGATTTGGTGGACATTGTTGGCCAGCACTGATCCTTACTGTCAGCTGTCTGCAATCAGTGAACAGAATGGACAATATCTGTGTCTGAACTGTAAGACACTTGCACACTCTGCCTACATCTTCTTCTACACTCATGGGGACAGTGAAGTGTATGGAAGGGGGATTAGTTTGTCTTGTGTTAGTGTCAGAGTCAGCCTTGTCAGGTATGAATTCAATGTCCCCCACTAGTGTAAGCACATTGCAGCACTGTTCAACCATATTGTAAAACAAGACCAAACAGTCCAATTCCCTTCCTTTCAACAGACTGTCCTCATTATAATTCAGAAATTCGAGGATAAATTCCTTAAGTCTAGGACACATGATGCTGATTCCCTGTGGTCCATATCCACTCTGGGGAGCTAGCTCCTTGAAGAAATTGGGTGTGAACTGGAATTCTTTCATATGAAGCCTCTCCAAGTTGGGTATACAAATTAGAAAGCTGAGAACATGCTCAGCTAGTAAGGGATCCCATTTTGCATCATAGAGTGAAAGAGTCTCTAAGCGTTCGAACGTATAGTTAGGCAGTGCATACAACTCTAAAGCTTCCTGAATATCAACATTGATTGGAGGCCAGTAAGTAAAGCATTTCAGTTCAGGCTTGGGTACACTTGTTAAGGTTTCCTGAACTGTGTTAGGAGTGTATTTGACCTCAAGGGTAGTCAATTTCTCCATTGATATGGTTGAACCATCAAACACGTTCTCAGAGTCTTCATCAGCCCAATCCTCAAAAGGGATATTATAGAAATTTATCTTGAGGGATTCCAAATTTGGTACTTTTTGCATAAAATTTTGAAAGGCCTTGTGTTGCAGATGGCCCCTATGGTACAGAATAACATCCTGGAATTCCATCCACCTTAGGCCATATAGTTGCCTATTGCTTATTTTAATGGCAGGATTCCCTCTAATACAGAGGTATGCCAACTTTGGTGAATTTGTTGTATTGATGTATATGTCTGGACCATTGCCATAGATCCGACAAATTGTGAGAGTCTCCAACGTTAGTGTATTAACAAGCTTGAACTTTGACAGTCAATCTGTACTGACGTTGAAGTTGAAATAAGCATGCAGCCAGCAATGCTGCTGAGCAAGAATCATTTCTATGATTTTCTCCTGGGCATTGTGATGGTGCTTCTCATACTTTCCCCAGACACTGTTATAGAAATTGTCAAGCAGTAACTTGGCCTTGTGAATGCAGATCATCTTGATATTAAGTGGGCAGTTCCCAGACCTCTTGAGACAAGTTGCAACAGTCCTTTCAAGCCATTTTGTCTGTTTCTCACTGTCTCAACAGGAGAAAGACACTAATATGGATGTCCATAGTAGTGAGTATCCTTCAACTACGAAACGCCAGCTCCTACAGATTTACAACAAGTGAATGGGTGCAAACATGGCTCTGTCACACCCCTTAGGTCTCTGCCTCTGTGACTCCTGGACAAAATTTAGGAAAACTTTGCAGAGCACCTCTTCCAGCAACTCTTTAATCCAACAAAGAGGTTGAACCATGTTATCCCTATATAATCCATTTATTGTTGTATAGGAACACTATGAAGTTTGAACTTGCTGATTGACAAAGGGTAAAACTCTTGACACTAACTAATCTATAGTATAGATTGCAGATGGCACAGATAATAATCTTGAGTATACACTAGAGCCTTAGTGTGACAGGAGAGGACTGTGGCCCAGCCAATGATGACAGAGGAAAGAAAGTTGTTCAGGAGCACCATACTGTACACTTGAACACACAGAGTGTGCAAATTATGTGTCCAAAAGCAGGAAATGTTGTGATGACTAACACGAGTTCGTGAAAATATACAGCCAGTTCCAAGAAGTATTTGTCATGATAATAGATTCTCATCACTCTATTTTGTGTAGACACATCAAAACTTGTCCCCTCCAGATAAAAATACAATTCCTTTGACTAATTTACATGATCCTGGCTCAACCTAATTCATTAAAAAATGTAAACTGATATAAAATTATATGCTGTAAACCTAGTCTCAGTAATAATCATACTTGTGAATGTGTCTCTGGAAGGATGTGAGAAACTACTACTGACTATGAGGGTGACGAACACTTTACAGAACCATAGCTGTACAACACATACACAGATAGTCATTCCTACACTCATTGTATAGAGAGTCAATGAAAGTATCTAGCATCTCTAGGCACAGTAGCAATGACACAGTGCCTGGTGAAAGAGATTCATACACAGTAGCATAAAGACTACATTAGTATTACTCCAGGGATTGACCCTTTTAAGAGTTACACATCACAGCTATACAACTCTAGACTGGAAAATAAATTGTGATGAGTAATAACAAGGAGCCAGGAGATTGACAATCTACAAACAAAGGCACACTACAGGAGAATTAGCTACTGTAAAGAGCAACTCAGTTGTACCCAATCGTGCTAACCCTAATCACAGAGAGCCAGATCTAACAACAAGGGCCACATGCTGAACTCAGACTGGTCTATTTCACAGACACAACACTGGAGTGTAAAGAGACACTCTGCCTGCTGGGTGTCTGTGAGACTTCCCAGGCAACGTTCTGGCCCTGTAAAGAAATTCTGGAGCTTGAAACAATGAAAAATGTTAGCAAACACAAAAAGAAATAGAACCAATATGCATCATACCTGCTCACGTCTTCATCAATGCAGGGCTTGCATCACAGACCATCCATCATACTTGTCCTGGACAAATAATGGCAGAGAGAAGACCTACTGTTGCAGCTGCCCCAAGCAAGTGGGTAGGGAATGGTGGTAGGGAAATGTGTAACAATGCACAGGATGCTGAATGTTGCCTTGTAGAATGGTATGAACTTGGAATGATAACTTTGTACCATTCTTCAAGGGTAGCTGTGAATGCAACCAGTGACAAATCATTTATGCTGTTCAGTCCAATGTGGCAACATGATGCATGCATGAAGTGCAAATGAAGTGCATAGGGAATAGCATATGCAAATGTATGACTGAAGCAACAAGAAATGGAAAGCAGTATAGGCAAACGAAACACATGTGTAGATACAGCACCTTGACTTTATGCACCCCTGAAAGGGTCAGATACACCAAACTGCATCACCTGTGTACAAAGCATCATTGCTTGTGCCACATCTCCTTCTCTCTCTCCTCTCTGCCTCAAGGGACTCTTTGAGTTCACATTAATTCTTCAGCTTGTGTTTACAGCTACAATGTGTAGTAAGCACGTTTTGCCTTTGCTTAGCTGTAATGGTATTGGCCTCAGCAGTTGATACAGGAACCCCTGCAAGCTCATTGTCTTCTTTGTCAAACACTACAAAGTGGGCACACTTGTAGGCAAATACTGCTAGAACAGCCTTACAAGACATCACTGACAGTATAAGATAGTTGTGTGGCTGAGTTGGTGTATCAAGTAGCCTTGATGTTGCCCAGAGGAGTGACAAGAGTGGTCAGGAGTTGATTGTGATGGCAAGAAGGAAGGGTGTTCAGACACAACATGCCCAACCATTGAACACACAGAGTGTGCAAAACTATCTCTGAATGCAATTAAGACTGTATGATGCAAGTCAAAATTCGTATGATAGATATCCATATCTAGAAATATTTTTGCACATTCAATGCATTCAAGAGTCTGTAGAAGCAAATCCAGCAACTTTTCTCACTCTGTCATTATGGCTGTACCTGGTAAGGGTCTGCTCATCATCAGTAGTACAAATAGCATACTCACAAGAATATCAATCCACACGTCCGTACTGATATTTTGGAATATGTACTACAATAGCCTGTATAATATGTACTACAATTAAGACAGTATTGCTTCTGTATTATTTGGCATTCAGTCATGAGTAGAAGGGCGTTGTCAAGGCAAGTCTAACAAGTAAAGTAGAGGCTATATACTCACCCCATTCACTAGGTCAGATAGGCCTCCACAGCAGCTTGCTCAATGTACTGGCAGGCCAGCTACTCCTCTAGTACCTTGGCAGGACCTTTACCAGGCACCTGAGTAAGTACTGTATATCCGACAATTTGCCAGACCAATACTAGACAATGAAGAATGGGAGACAATAACAGCTGAGCAGACAAGGGCTCGTCATGAAAGGTTAAACTTTCTCCTGGGGGCGACTCAAGCTCAGTGCCTACAGTACAGGGAACCAGACAGGGAACAATACAGGGGCTACATTCAAGGTTCTTTGACTGGCTCTTCAGAAGATTGTCCTCATTGTCCTCTTGTGATGATTGAAATGTATGAACCCATGTGCTACTCGTTTCATTACGGTTGGTTTGCAGGAGCCTGGTATTGTCCACTCTACAGTCTTGTACAGTCATTTCCCACACGCAGCAATTTGGAAAATCACCTTTTTGAGCACCACCAGTTTATAACATATAGTTGGACAGTCTACAGGAATGCAAGTACCTACTTTTCATTGTATACACATACACAGTCTAATCAGTTATTTAGCCAACAATCTGGGAGGAAAATATCTGGTGCCTCGTTCTGAGTATAGTACTTGTAATGCCGCCTTTCCTGCTGCCCAATGAACAAAATTATGTGAACCCCCTCTTGCTGTAATCTAAGTTTGAACACCTTGTACAAGCATTTGTTTGACTCTGTGCTATTGAAGAATTTGAATGATTAATGAATGTGACCATTTTTAAGTAAAAAGTGTAATCCTTGTGTGTGGTAAGAAAAAGCAAGGCCTCCTCTTTATATTTGGGTGGATTGATCGTCCACTACTGACAAAGTACAAACTGTCAACCAACTGGCACTTCTATTCTTTATCGGTACAGTTCTCATCGCGAATGAGACGAATTCGTAACTGTAGATGGTTGTAGTTCTCAACCTGGCCGTCTTTACGGTCACCATCGGTGCATAGCTCATGGGTTTCAGTAAGCATTCGCCGATAGTATTTCCGAGTTTCTGAATTCCGATACTTATTCGCTTTTAGCCCAGAAGATTGCGTGAGCAACACAGGCTACACGAGACCTTAACAAGATATTGTCTCTTGGCACCGACACCGAAGAATCCCACGGAAGTGCGATGCCACCCATAGAAGGCGAAATCAAGTTCAACAACGTCGACTTCTCCTATCCTAACGATCCGATGTTCCCGTCCTCCAAAGCACGTCTCTTCTGTTTAAGCAAAACGAATGCATTGCAATTGTTAGCACGTCAGGTTCAAGCAAATCCACAATAGTGCCTCTCTTGCAACAATTATATGAACCGAATTCAGACTCAATCACAATAGGTGGGAACAGCTTACATGCAATGGATGTCAAACATCCCCGTGCACATATCGCCATTGTTAGCAAACCCTAATCTTTCAATGCGTTCATCGCGGAGAACATCACATATGGGAACGCAGGGCTTTCACCCAATGATGTCTGCTACAACATGCAAGCCGCACACATGCACAACTTCATTATGTCTCTCCTACAAGGTTACGAAACGCACGTAGGGGAGAATGCTTCACTAATCTCAGGAGGTCAAGCCTAGTGACTCGCTATTGCACACGCACTCACTCGTCCTGCACGTGTACTTATCCTAGACGAATGTATAAGTGCTCTGGATCCAGAGAGTCAGGCTGCGGTCATGGAGACAATTCGTTCTGTGAAAGTCAGGAGAACAATGCTTACAGTGACACATAAATGACCTGTGATGCTGTGATCGGATCGTTGTTATTAATGCAGGCGCGGTTGCCGAGAGGGGACATACAATGATTTGATTGCACAGAACAGCACAACTTGCAAGGAGTGGAGAGTGGAGAGTGGGTGGGCAAGTGATCGCCTTGTTCTTGCTTGATTGCCTACTTTCTCTCCTTGGACTATAATATAGGCCCTTCTGAATTTCTGTTTCTTGATCCTGATGATTATTCTCTAATAACAAGCATTTTTTTTATTGAAACACGTTCAACTTTCATTCCCATTTTTGACTGTTCGGTTTCCCTGGTAGGATCAAATTCTTATTTTCTGTTCCGATTTATTCATTGACCATCAATGGTTATCATTTTCTAACTCTCATAACTCCTCAGACCTAAATATTTTTGTACTTTTAGCCCCGTCATAGTTACATCTATCATAGCATCACAACTATAAGACTGGATGACTCTTTCCTACTGTATGTTTGTCATTGGTAATATCTATTCAATTACACAAAGTGATCAGTAAATGCATGACTAAGTGTCTAGCCATTGCTCAGCTGTTTGCATAATCTTTATAGGCGATCCCCTGTATGCTCAGCTACCCTCAGCAACTATCCCATGCATGCTTACTGTCTCACACAATGAGTACACATTTTTCATCATTCCTCACTCATTTCCCCTTCAATTTCACTCTTTTTTCTTTAAATTACATAGATACATCATTGTTATCATATTAATTGGTATTATCACAAATATATACACATTTATGCATAATTATCTAATACAATCGAAATGCACAGATACGTGCAAGTATCATTCGTTTAAATGGGCCCTGTATACGATTTTTGGGACCCTGTAATGAATGTGTAAGGTAGTGTTCAAGTGTTCAATATACAGATACACAGGAAGCATGTGATACATGCCTTTAGAAGGTGACAGGCAACTCACAAAGATGATGTTCAACATGTGAACGAATATTCATTCCAAGGTATTGGTGGCTATACACAATAATAATACCTTCTATTTGTTCTAACTTATAACATGCATGAGATGCCCATTCATATCTCTTGTCACAAATTATTACTCATATCATCCAGGACATGATGAAGGGGAACAGATGCACTTACAGGAGCTTCATAGGGTTGTGCTCGAAGCAGACGACCAGAAGGATATACTGAGCAAAGTAATGAAACAAATGAAACAAGTAGTTGAGGACTATCACCTTATAAAAAACAGGGCATTCAGAGGTCTCTGAAATCTCAAGTACATGATACAACCATCACATTGAAGCGAATGGATGAAGAGGCAATGTGGATATTATGATTTAGACAAAAAATACTCTATACAGTTAAAAAATCTCGAATTTACGTGTGCAACCTCCTCAATACGAATGACAGTCTGAAAGTGCTTAGACATGCGAATTTCTATGTGGACAACGTGTCAGAAAAGTTCCTTATGAGTGTCTTGAAGATGTCTTGCAAAGAGCTGTTGTATAAATTCGAAGCGTTCACTATTACTGGTTTGGCTGGTAATTCCACATCTGTTACAGTTGCAAACTCAAACAATTGAAAAAACATCCTGAAAAAAGTCATTCAAGAGAATTTGATAAAACAACTTTGTACACTCCACTCTCCCTTTTGTACCTTCCTGTTATGATTGACAGACATTTGAACAGGCAAGCTTACAGGCAATGATAAGGTGGTTTGCCATGGAAGTCTTACACTGACTTCATAAAAACTTATAGTGTTCATTTGATTAATTGGCCACTTGAAGATGCTAGCCCTATTAATAATTTGAACACTTGAGCAACTATGTGATTTGATCGAAACAGGCGAGTGTAAATGGGAGATGATGGAGGAAGAACATTTGACTTGTTCCCCCCCTCCCCCTCCCCCTGCCAAAGAAGAAAAGGAAAAGTGATCAGACAAGGGGTCTAAGCAAGGATCAAAGAGGCAGCACATTGAAGTAGTTGAAACAGTTGAAACAGACACACGTGAGTGTGCTTGAAGAGACTGTTATATAAATTTAAATATAGACAAAGCTATTAATATTAATGATAACGTTTGAATGAATATCCAGTTTGGCACATCTGGTGGATCAAATTATACTTATGGATTTTGTGTATGAATCGGATTGAACAACTTGCAACAAATTGCTTAACTAATTTGATTTCTTGGTGTGGGAACTGTAGGTGTGCAATAGTGTCTTTTCTCCTGTATTTTAAATATTTAGGACAACCCTCGTACTGTAGGTCTACGTTCGTTGTCTTCCATTTGGGTCAGTGGGAGTGAAAAAATCCGACGTAATCCGACGTAATCCGACATAATCCAACATAATCCACTTAGTCCGATAAACTATCTGCTACAGTCCAGTCTTGCTATCAGTCGAGAGTCCGTGTGCCAGGATAGCAATACATATCTGCTAACACTAGATCATCCTTCTTATCCCTCTCAAACACACTTTTCATTACAATAAATGCATTTTGCTCATGAAGACTAGCTTTAACAGACATTATAAACATATGAACCGTTTGCCAATCTCCAACTGTCTTACATTCGAAGAGATGTCTAATCCACGTCACACTAGTAGAAAGTACAAAAGAGAGATGTAGAAAGCAAAGACACTGTACATTAAACATCTGATAAAGATGTGTGTACTACACAAATGCTACTTTGATGCCAGTACCAGGGTTCCTGTAATCCTCCTTTTGACAAAAGCGTGTGTGCATTGGGCCATCATGACAACCTGTATAATTGTACAGGTACCCACACTCATGAATGGGAAAAGAAGAGAAGGATAAATATAAACGTGCTAAATCAGTTGAGTCTATTAAGGAGTGGGAGAGAGGATACGTACGCTTGTGAAATGACATCAGTCTGGTAGAAGTTCTGAATGGGACGTTAGAAATTGACGGACTTATTGATGGTAGCAAGAGTCTTTAATCCAAGGGAAGCAAAGTCGGCAGACGTGCATTCTCTCACATCGTACTGTGCAAGTGCTAGGGAGGTCTACTACATACGGTCTTGTAGCATGAGAACATCGTTGTACAGAAGCGAGTGCTCAACCACCTCAGAAATAGCACTTAAAACACAAGTCAGGACAACAATAGAAAAAGGCAAGTACAATGACATACCGGATGATTTCCAATCTTCACGGGATGCACCAGGTGGTGGCACGGCAGCACGACCAAGTTGTGGGCGACCCTCCGTGTTAACCCATACAGTAGACTTCTCGGTATATGCAGCTCCGGGTAAGACAACATTGGCAAGCTGAGCACCGAGGTCATTATGGTGGCCCTCATAAACAACAAACGCGTCTTTGGCAACCTAGTAGTTTCTGATACAACAAAGTACAGTAAATAAGTAGTACAAACTTCCCGGCGCCAAAGGCGATTTTGCTCCATGGGTTTGCTGCTTGAGAATTCGCCCACCTGAGGGACATACTGTAAGGGGCCTAATTAGAGGGTGTACAAGACCCTTGTAGTCCCTCTAATTAGGTACCTTTTGAGCTTTTCTCCCTAACTGTACTTAATACTAGACTTAAATAGTAAAAAAAATTCTAAGTCAAAATAAAATAAAATAAAATAAGTATGCTGAGTGCCCTATATGGCAACTGTGCCCTCCCCACCTGCCATACCTTGAGCTCACTGTCTCATACAGTGAGCACACACTTTCCTCTGTATCTTACTCAATTCTTAACCAAATTTCTTCATTATTCCTTTAAAATTAATGTAAATTTAGTTGGAACTCATTCATAACACAAATACAATGTTAAATGTATCAATTACTTGTGTATTTGTGTACTATTTGATAATAAAAAATACAACAGTTTCCTCTGACTAAGATTTATGATACTCTAAACTCTTAATACTGTAATAATAGTAGAGCTTATATATCTACAGTATATCCAAGAATTGAGTCTGTGTAATGTATACAAAGGAAGTTACACTATGCTTTATATACATAATTTTGTAGTCTCATATCTATGTAACCACAGAAGTTATTAATATAAGAGTGGCTTTTTTAAATAGGTGTAGATTAGTATTAAATTATTATAAGATATGAGAGGTTTAAAATAAGGAGGTAAATTGTTATTAAGAGTATAGTACAAATATTAGAGTCTATATATCTTTACTATATGTTAGTTGTTTTATGTAATACTAGG